AGGGCGGGGCTACACAGTGATTGACAGGTCTCTACCAGAGACGTAAACAACATGGCGAAGTCCAAAATCAAAGATGTCAACGGTGAAATCATTGAACTCAAGGCTTCAAAAAGTCATCCATGAGTGATGTCCCGATGACGATGTCCGGTTCTTATATACAGTCTGTGGGACCGACTCATTACTGGCTGACCATAATATCAATATATACATATTTGTTACAGTCTCATACAGTATTACACCTCTACATCCTTCACCTGATACCGAGCCTCTCCTCTGTGACTGCACAGAATGAAACAAACCGCGCCGATCCTTGTTTTAAACATTTATTTCCTCCCCACATAAAACTCTTCTCAGTGCTTACAGACGGGATCATTCTGCTTTACAATCACAGAAATAATGTAAACAATGCATGTGAAGTCACCTCAACAACAACAACAACAGGCAACTCTGTCTCCTGCAAACTTACGTCCCCATAAAACTAAACTGCACTCGCAATTACTGTATGTTGTGAGGGGAAGAATGTTTTCTCCAGGATTACAGTTGCAGTTTTAAACAGTTTGAAACACGCGGTTAACGTCATAAATTCAAACTAAACAAAAAAAACTTTACAAAACTACTTCTTTAGGTTTGGTAAAAAACATCATGGTTTGGCTTAAAACAAAAACCCAACAAACTACTGCTTGGTTACACAAGTACTCGGTTCACATGGGATTAAAACAGCAGTCTCCTGAAAGTCCTCTGTCTTTTTTGACCCAACCACCATCCTGACCTTATTTGTGACCGGAACGTAATTTATTTTAGGAGTCAGAGCCGCAAAGGGCAGAACATGCAGGAGAACAAGACTTTCAACGTTCATCATATTCAGATTCACTGAAGCAGAGAAACTAAATGATTTGGCTGTAAAAACTAAACTGAACAGATGTTTTTCACATGAAATATTAGGATGCACATGTGAGCCCGTGAGCGAGTCACGCTTTGTCCAGGATGTGTTTTAAGTCCGTCCTTTAACTGTCCGTAAAGTACACGTCTCCAGTATTTAGACAGATACATCTGATAGGATACACTGGTCACTCTGTGAGGTGCTTTGTCGTTTCATCGGGACACCTGCTGAGCAGCACAACCGGCTGTTTGAACAGGAACAAAGGACAGGTGGCAGACAGACAGGGGGCGTTTGTCCTTCTCCTGGTCCCCTCCTCCCCCTTCTTCTTTAATCAAAGCCTGCTCTTACATCTTCGCTTCACATTACTGTTTATTCAGTGCCCCCCACCATCTTAACCGGCGTAAGGTCGCCGCCACCACACGCTCTCTTACGCCCCCCTCTGTTGTTGTCAGGCAGCGGGAGACTTCTTCAAAGAAACGGTTCGTATCTACCGTCTACGTCCGGACTCTCACAACTCAATGTGGGACGACACGAGGACACGAACACTGTGTCTCTCACTGTTACAGTAAACACAATGAGGACTGTGGAGGGACGAGAGCAGGCATGTGGGAACCAGAATGGGTGGTCAGAGGAGATATTTATGTATATATATATATACATATATGTACTGTATATATATATATACTGTACTTGAGAGTGCATTGCTGAGTGAAGCATTAAAACATGTGTGTGATGATACAGGAAGTTACAGCTTTGAAGTTTTGTAATGAATGGTGCTGCAGTATTTTATATACTTGAGCGGTCCTCAGAAAACAATGAACTAGAAAACAAGCTTGTGAACAAACAGCGAAGAAATCTCACTTTGTTCATAAAGTTGTAACATGTTAGCAAACAACTGACAAAGAGCAACATTAGTGTTCATCAGGAGATGTGTCTGAGTCCGTCTGATGAATCTGAATCTCCTTCTAGCTCTGGTTTTGGTCTCCACCGACTCTTGAGAACAAAGATCTGGCTGTTTGGTGCTGGCCAGGTAGTGAACTACGGCTTTATCCAAAGCAGTCGCCAGAAAAACATGTTAGCGTTGCACATTCCTGCAAACCACTGAACCCAAAATATGTTTCACAAATACATTTCATATCAGCCTCATATCACGCTAGCAGAAACGTGCACCGCTACGTAGTAATGTAAAGTCTGCGTTTACTTTCGGTTTCAAACAGCGGTCTGCTGGTGAAAGTCCTGTTTGTTTGTACTCGTTGCTCCGACCAAAAGCAAAAACCTCGACATTAATCATAATTGTGGTTTGCAGAAACATACAATGACTGAGCTGGTTTTACAACTTTAAAATTGTGGGAGTGAAATGTTTCCATGTATCCTAATAATACTTGCAAGTGTCACCCAGGAAGGCTTCAAGGAATCTGGCTATACAGATAAAAAACGGACGAATCCTATAATTTACAACAAATGGACTCCACAGTGTGTGGATATATGAATATTTGTTGGAGAGTTATGATCAGTTCCTGCACTAAACTAGCCTTCAATGTGGCTGCACCGTTAATGTCGTGGCTTCTTTCAGGCCACAGACAAAAGATCATTCTTCAACATCTACTCAGACTCCATTAGAGACCTGGTGACCGTAGGAACAAATGAACAAGTGACAGCTCACTGTTCCAGGAGGGCATGTATTAAACATATCCATATCCACAAGTGATTTATGCTAATTAGCTGTTAGAAGTGCAGAGCTGTTATTTCTTTCACAACAAAAATACAACAAGTGAAATATTACTTAAACATTCCTGTTGTAGCAAATGGAAATGTACCAGCTATCGGTGCTCGTGTTCGTATACATGCACGAGAGTGTGTATCCTCTGTGTGTGTGTGTGTGTGTGTGTGTGTGTGTGTGTGTGTGTTTGTGCAGACTATCAGGCTAATCTGAGGTTTGGTTAGCCAGAGCTGAGGCCATGCTGGTGATGTAGTGGAGGGGCTGTTTGAAGAGCAGGGTCTCCTCTCCTGCCGCTTAAACAGCGAGCTTTCATTTGAGGCTCCATCCAGTTGCATTTCATGAAGAATGAACAGACGCCTTAGCAGCGGGCGTTTTTCTGTGCCTGAGAGTGCGACGTAGAGACGGAGTGCATTTTTTTTGATTTTTTTTGCTCTATTGGCAATGCTCAGCAGGGCGGATCGTCTTTTTTGGGGGCATTCTGCGTCTTTACACAACAGCACAAATAGCAGCCAGTTCATATTTAAACTCTCATCTTTGCTGCTTCCAGAGTGGATGTCGTAGCCGTGTGATTGGATAGACAAACTGAACAACATGGTAAAAGTGGGAATGGGTGGATGAATTGATTACACTCAGTGTTGCTGCGCGCACATGATCAGTTTCTTTCCTCCCATTCTTCTCTTAATCATGGATCTAACTAGCCACAGAGAAAACGGGCTGTTATTCTTTCCTAATTTCTCGTAACAACATGAAACATATTTTGTCACATTGCTACCAAATATGGAAAATAAAACTTGTAATTTGTCATATTTTCTAAAATAAATAAGCTGTCAGGATTATCTGACGTACATGGACAAACAACAGCCGGTAACATGTTCTAATACAAAAAACATACTTCTCGGAGGCCCTTTGAGAAGGCCTCAGGGCTGACTGGCAGCTGTCCACGGTCGTAGCTGGAATGCAGCGAGCCTCTCTGGGGGTCAGAAGTGCTCCGGGACCGTGGGATGATGGGTGTTTTGGATTAAGAGGAAGGGGGTCGTGGGGTCACGAGGGCTTTCTGGCCCTGCGAGGTGACAAGGGGGTGGAGTCCCGCTGCAAGCGCTTGTTGTTCCCACTGTACAGAGAGGAGATGGAGGCGTTGGTGGGGGCCTGCGGGTGAGGCAGAGTACGTCGAGGGTACAGCGGGCCCCCCCCTGAGCAGCAACACGTCCCGCACGGCGCCGCAGAACGGCTTGCTGACGAAGCAGTAGAGGAAGAAGTTGACGGCCGTGTTGAGCATGGCCAGCATGTTGGACAGATCGTAGGCCAGGTGGACGCGCCAGTCCCGGTGGACCGAGGACACGTACAGGTGGTAGATGACCACCACGGTCCTGGGCGCCCACAGCACGGAGAACACGGAGGTGATGGCCAGCAGCATGGCCGTGGTTTTCCCAAGTCGGCGAGGAGGAGCCGACTTGGGCCCACGTTCCTCCTCGCAGCGCTGCTGCCTCTGCCTCACCTTCAGCGTGTGGATTATCAGAGAGTTCAGCACCAGGAAGATGCTGCAGGGCAGGAAGTAGATGATAGTCACATGCGTCCAGACGAGGACGGTGTCCAGGGCCGTGGGCGGGTGGCTGTTCCGCCACATGTCCGACCACCAGAAGAAGGGCACGCCGGACACCAGGGACAACGCCAGGACCGCCGCAATGATCCTCCTGGTGCGTGCGGGGTAGCTGATCTGGCGGTGGAGGAGCGGGTGGCACAGCGCCACATAGCGGTCCACGGTGAGGGGCACGGTGGACCAGATGGAGGCATGGTTGGCGGCGAACTCAGCGGCACTGACGGAGTGCAGCAGGAGCTCGGGGACGTCGCGGTGAAAGACAGCCGTCTCCAGCAGGAAGCCGACGAAGATGATGAAGAGCTGGGAGAGAATATCTGAGCAGGTCACCGCCAACAGGTAGTAGTACAGAGCCTTCTTGGTGCGGGACGCCAGCCGGGACAAAGCCACGGCCGTCAGGATGTTCACTGAAATCATATAAAGAAGAAGATTAGATCATATTATCTGCTATTTATGAGATGTAAAGCAGTTGATCACTTTAATAGGACTATCTATATCCTGACACATGTGAAAGAAATATGTGAATAAATCAGTGTCATCTGCCTAAAATAAAACAACCAATCAGAGCCCAGGATTCTTTAAAGCAGCTATCAATCACTTCTTGTGTAAGATGAGAACCTTCTCTCTGCTCGGTGGGCGGGGCTTCGTTCTGGCTCCACTGTTCCCAACATGGCAGCACAACTCATTTCAGCTTCTGGGAGACGACACCGTGACCACGCTGCTGGAGAACCAGGCCGTATATCTTTTGGTCTCGTTGAAGGGAAGGGGGGCGCGGGAGAACCAGAACCAGGACTGAGCAGACCGTCAGACCCTGAGAGGTTCTCTAAAGGGACTCTCGTGCTCAGAGACAATACCACCTTTGTCCACAGGGACACATTTTAAATTGTGTTAAAATGTAGGTAGCTTGTGTTGTTTAGTTTTTTTGCTTCGAAGGAACTGCAAATCTAAGGAGCTTTTGTGACATTAATTATGGATTTCTATAGCATGATACCTTTTCATGGGGAAGAACAAATCAATAAGTCAGGTACTGGTTGTTTTATGGATTAAGTAATCCTACCTTGCATTTGTAAAATGCATTCACAGCAGTTTAAGTTACAAACCATTGATTTGATTTGTCTCCTTGCCACACATCTCATACAGTAGTTTAGGACCCCTCTGTTGACTCTGGCCTCTTCCATTTATCTTCCTTTGGGTACGATGACGTGACGCAGCTGAACGCTCTGGTGACACGTCCGCTTGTTTGGGACACCGCTCTGTCTAAATTCCTGCTGGATCAATACCAAATCACCGCCATCGATTTGTAGACGAAGCGCGGTAATGAGAACAATGCGGAGGTGAACACTGTCCATCAAAGAAGACAGTTATTTCCACTTTCTGAATTGTTGAAGCATTTTGATGCAGATCAAGAGCTCGATGGATGGATTGATAATCAGACTCTCAAAACAAAGTGATGACCAGATGATTCGATTATTGTAACCTGTGAAAGGAGCCATCAGACCAGAGTCATGTGCTACAACAGTGCTGCTGGTCCTCTAACTCACGTGTGTATTGATTTCTTCTGTCCTCTGCAGTTTCCACTTCTGTTATAAATAGATATCAATACAAACAAACTGTGCTGTGACTGAGATTCAGTGCAAATACAACTAATAAAATCACGTAGTGCATCAGTTCATATTCTAACCCTAAAATGACAGTTCACCTAAATTACAAGTTGACTCACGTACAGGACGTAAGAGATACTGTCGAGTGTTTCAAGTCATTATTTAATTAAAGCCAAACTGTCTGCAAAGGTGCACATGTCTCACTACGATACATCGTGACAGCGTACCTGGTACTCCCACACAAAGCAGAATACTGTAGTAGATGACTGGGATGAAGCCCAGGACACATTTGGACCTCTGCAGCTCCTCAGGTTTCAGGCCCAGCTCCTGGTAGCCAGACGCTGTCACATTGGACCAGTCGATCATGACCTTGGTGCTTCCCCTGGGAAATAAGGAGGGACAGAGAAACGTTTATGAGACTCAGAGTTAGTGTTTTAATTATAGACATCAAGAAAACAAAGGGAGAACTGTCGTGATCTAGTTTCCTCATTGTCAATGAATCCCATGAAAAGACCAAAACCAGCACCAAATGTATCCACTAACAAGTGTTGTGAGTGATATCTGTTCTATCTCTGAGCCACAGAGCGCCATTAAAAACCCATCAAGGAGCCTCACAGTTGCTCCTTCGTCCCCATGAACACAGGCAGTGTCGTTTATTCTGACTCAATCACACAAATGTGCTATTTCCTCCGTACTACACTGACCATCTGTTTTAGGAAATTACTGATGAAACTATATATTTGTGATGTTTTTAAAGATTTACGTTGTCGGAAGGTATTAGAAGGCGGACTGGATTTGCTCCGTAATACTAAACCTGAAGATACAGTATTATAGAAATGACTATAATATCATGATGGTGTTTAACACAGAGAAGAAGATTCTCACATTGGAGAAGCTGCATCAAGATAACATTTTAGCTTGAAAATGTTTTTTTGTTGAGGAATGAATTATTAAGTAATCGTTAATAATAAATCCGGTGGCTCTCTGGGATGCACCACGTCTTCAGATGAAGTTAAATTTACTTAAATTAACTACAAATTCATCATTTCAGTGACAAGGGACAGACCTGATATAAGAAATGTATCGATATATAAAGATGCAGACTGTCTTGATTTGACAATATCAAGGATCAACTCCTTTGCAGATGACGAGCCGCTTTATGTTGCCGTGAGTGAGGAAAGCCGTGTTTGTTTAAGAGAGCTGTTTTTTTCACAGAGATAAAACTGTGGAAAACAACAAGTCGGTTTGGACTCAGTCAATTAAACCTCAGCTCCACAACAACAGATGGGCAGACAGCGACGACCCCGTCACCCTCCACCCTCCCCCGAGTCATTATCGTCCCGTCTCCTCCTCTAACCTTTTCACCTGGGATCCATCCATCCTGTTTTTCTCTGTCTGTCTCGCCTCTGCCTACTCTCCTAATTTACTTTACTCATCCGTGAAGCCGTTTTTGCACTGCGTTATCTCTGGAGCTCTCAGTGACAAACCATTTGTGTGATGCTTAACCAACGTAAACACCATCGTGGAGCCACGATCGACCCAATCTGGGAAACTGACCTCATGATGGGACTTCTAACAGTTGGTCATGTTTAATCACTGCGATTGTAAAGTACTGTTTATGTGCCAAATCCCTGCATGTGCACTATATGACTGGAGTATTTTATGACTCTTGGCAGGAATGCGATCATAAAGTTGAGAAATATCTGAGGGCTTGGCTGCTTTAATTCACCTTAGCACAATAAACTAGAAGAAGAGCACGGATCAAAAAGCACTCATCGAGGTCAACGGCGTAATTCAGTATGTGGTTGTGCAGACACGGGAGCGGTCAGAATGATAGAACCCCCTCATGTCTTTATTTAAACCGTGGATGATATACATGAAGTTAAGTGAGATCAGAAAGGATGATGCGTTGTGGTCGTCTCATGGTAGAGTTGGCAGACAGGAGTGTGAGATTTTCACATTTCATCCAGCTACTTCTATAATTGGCTCCTTGAATGACGTCACCGGTCACTTGAAGGTCTTCGCTGTTTCGCTGGTCTTAAATGTCTGGTCTTCAGCCTCATTGGTCCGCTCGATAAAATTACTAAAAGGAACTTTTAACTGGTTATGAGGATCATGTAGTCCTGATCCTCTATCAGACCTCCATCAGTAAACAGACCATCAGAAAGAAGATGGTCTGTTTCTATAGAGTTATTCTTGATGCTCGTCATCGGAGCCACCGGGTCGGATTCTGGTGAAACCAGATGAACTCATGCAGCTTCACCAGAACCTCCTTCAGCTCAGACTCCAGCAGAGACCGGTCCACCGCGGACAGACCCAGATCCTCTAGCAGAGACCGGTCCGCCGCGGACAGACCCAGATCCTCCAGCAGAGACCGGTCCGCGCGGACAGACCCACATCCTCCAGCAGAGACCAGTCCGCCGCGGACAGACCCAGATCCTCCAGCAGAGACCGGTCCGCCGGGGACAGACCCACATCCTCCAGCAGAGACCGGTCCGCCGCAGACAGACCCAGATCCTCCAGCAGAGACCGGTCCACCGTGGACAGACCCATATCCGGAGCTCCGGAGGGAGGAGAGCTCAGCTCCCGGCAGCAGCAGCAGCATCTCCTCCTCCTCCTCCTCCTCCTCCTCCTCCTCCTCCAGGAGCAGAGCTTCTCCTCTCTGGGAGCAAACACTGACACCACGCTGCTGGAGACCCAGGACGCATTGCTGGACCCACTGGAGGGAAGAGAGGCACGGGAGAACCAGAACCAGGACTGAGAGGAGCAGACTGTCAGACCCTGCTGCAGTAACATGAGAGGTTTTCTAAACGGACTCTGGTGCTCAGACACTACCACACTTTAGTCCACAGGGACCAACAGAACCAAAAAAAAATGATAGTTCATATCTTTAAAATCAAGTCAATCTGAATGTTGGATTTATACGTTATTGTACCACATGTGTGCATTTAGTTCTGAGACATCAGACAGATTGTAGTCAGACAAACGCCTCCATATGTTGGTATTAACATTAACAGAATATCACTCTTTCATTCCTGTCCTGTCTGTGATTGAATCTGTTTTTTAACTTCTCTGATCTCAGCTGTGATGTGTTGTGATAAGAATTCTTCATCACAACACTTCACGTGCAGGGTTTTAAATCCAGACCATAAAAATGACACTTCCTCAGTCTTTGGAGGAAATGTGAGCTCAGAGATAACTCACTTAGATTTTGGTTGCTTTGTTCGTCTATGAAACACTCTCATATTTCACTCTTTGTTATGTAACAACATCCCACGTGCTGAGATAGAATGTCCTATTCAGTATTAATAGGAGCTCCACTGCTGCAGGAGGTGTAGTGTAGACGCACATTCATCCTACAGTGTTTTCTATGTGTTGCATCAACATCTTCAGTCTAAACTCATTACATGTCTTCATTTATGGTTCCACACATTAACTATTGTTAATTAGACAGAGCTGCTTATCATGAACCAACCAACACATTACTCATGAACTCACATGCAAAGTAGAAACTAAGATGCTACGACTGCATCCACAAGTTTACAAAAACAAAGATGGTTAACGGTCAAATAAGTGCATTCATGGAATAGTTTGGTAAAGAAGTACAAGTGTGTAATAAAATGATTAACAAACATAAAACTGAGGTTCAAACTAGTGTGTTTAGGAATTTGTTTTTGGTTGTATGTATTTCATTTTCACCGTTTACATTCATGAGAATTGTATGTTTGATGGAAAGTTGAATGTAAAAAGGGACGGTGCAATAAGAGGTCCGCCGATATCTTTTCAGTTTCTATAAACTTGCTTTGGTTTGTCAATTTTTTGTCAAACTTATTATTCTTTTTTTTATCTTATGTATAAGTACTGTTAAATAATTATATTCAAAAATGTCTGTCTTGGCAGCTGAACATTTTTTTAAAGTATTCTCAGTTAATTCGTTTTTTGTTCACTGTTCACTGTTTCCTGAAGTGCAAGAGGAGTTCATCAAATTGCTTGTTTGTCTGAACAATCCAAAGACTGAAGTAAAGCAGCAAATATTCACATTTGAGAGGCTGGAATTAGTGAATTATTGACAAATTACTTTCAACAATTTATCAACTATGCAAGTTTAAAAAGGGAAATCAATATAAAAACACACTTTGATGCAAACTAAATGTCCACTGCTGCACGTATGTTCTCTAAAACAGGGTGAAATGGCTTCAAGGGGTGACAGTTCTGCTTCTTTCGGACACCCGATCTGTTTCCTCGCCAGCCTCCTCTCAGTAAAAAACAAAAAGACGATCGTTGTTAATGAGAAGAAGGCACAAGGGAACAGTAATCACACTGACCGATCAATATCCCAGCAGCCACTTCTTTCACGCCGGCAGAGGTCCTCTTTAATCCCGAGAGTGCGAGATGAAATGTTGAAGCTTGGAGAGTTCTACTTGCTCTCCATCACATTTATTGATCTGGGAAGTTTCCCGTGCCGACTAATCATCGTGTCCGGTCCCTCAGGTGCTACAGATTCTGTTCTCGCTTCAGATGCGTTTGATTTAAATCCGCTCTCAGACCGTTTCAGTCTTCGTGCTCGAGGGAAATGAGGTGCATTGACGTGATAACAGAATCGTTTGATCACACTGCTTCCGTTTCAACGTCAGCATCCTCCTCCGAAGAATAAAAAACAGCTGAGTGACATGTCTGTGCAGATCAGAGGCCGAGGCGTGTTTCTGGTTACGACTCTTCCCAGGGTCGAGATGCAGCTGGAGGCTCCGCGGGGCGTTCAGTGCCCGGGAAGCTGAGCTGAACTCTATCTGTGCTCCACTGAGTCCTCTTAATAATTCATCATGAGACTGAGCACCTGAAACAACACTGCTGGGAGATAAAGAGCGCTGCCAGGACAACTGTACATCAAAACCCGTTTCTCATGACAGCGAGGACGAAGCGCTGCTTCAGGTTTTGTCTTTTGATGAATCTTAACGCGAAAAAAACGATGAACACAAGAATCAGACCCTCAAAGAAAACTCTCCGACACGTCTAATGAACGACGCTCTACGTAACCTTCTATTGTTAGTTTTGGACGCGTCAGGGACGACGTGACAAGCTTTGTTTAAACTCGCGATGTAGCACGAGAGTCCACAAATAGCTCGCAGGCTACGAGCACTAAATAAGGTGTGTTCGTTACATTATTCTCCAGAACACCAGAGGACGTACAAACAAACTTGAAACTTGAACTTGGCAGACTAACAACTCACGTCACTAACGAGTCAAGTAACTAACGACACGGACAAATCAAGTCACAAAATGTCAACGTTTACTTTGAGTTTTGCGCGGGACACAATCGGTCTCCTGGACGTTTGTCCTGTGTCTGAAAAGTCCCACATTGGAGTCGGTAGAATGCCCAGTGAGTCGCTATCAGACGGCGAGGGGCATCGACCAACTGTCTGTATTTGACGAGTTGAGAGCGATGAAGAAGTTTCTTCATCATGCAGATCGTGATGCCGTTAAAAGTTCGTCGTTAAGAAAGACCGAATCCAGGAGTGCATCTTGGAAGGAATTGATTCTTTCTTAGAAGATTTAGGGGAAGTGAAATAACAAGAAAACACGTCAAGTTCAAGACGCTGTGATTATGAAACAACTGTAAGTGAGACACTCCAGTCTCACTCCCTGCTTGCCAAAATAACTTTTATAATAGGACTGCAGTCAATGATGTGTAACAGCGCTGATTGCACAACAAACAGAACCATTTCATCTTTTTACAACAGAGCAGCTGAGACACTCGACAGTGAACGCAAAGAGTTTTCTTCGGCTTTCTTTGCCCTTGTATGGTCGGTCTCAGTCTTACCTTTAAATCCAGTTCTCACGTCGACCCTCCACCTGGTTCACAGCCGGTCCTCTTCTCCGTCGTTCCCCCCGATGCTCCTACAGAGTCCCCGACATCGCTGCTGGACACCCAATGAGGAGACGTGGAGGAGGACAGAGAGGGGGAGTAGGAGGAGGAGGAGGAGAAGTGGATCCATGCAGCCGGTTCATCACTGCAGCGATGGGGCAGAGGGGAGTGACGATGTGGAAAGGGTGAGGAAGGAGGGAGAGAGAGGGAGGGATTGATCTGTGGAGGGAAGGAGGTGAATGAGGGAGGAAAGACACGAGGAAGAGAGGGCAAGATAAACTGAGAGAAAGTAAATATTCACAAAGCAGACTAATGCTGTGAATAAGTTCCATATTATACCTTTAACTATATGCACAATATAGTGTATGCAAGTATTAATTATTATAGTGTAGTTCCACTTAGAATACAAGAAGTCCATGTACTCTACTGCATTGAAGTCATTTAGTGCTCAATCAAAACACCATTCCTGCTTTCTGCATGTCAAGCTACGCCATGTAGTTCACACTGTCTGCAATTTAAACGTATACGCGTGATTATACTACGTTCAGAGCAACTGACACACTATAAAATGTGAGGAAAACTACCTATATGGTATCTAAGGTAAACAAACAGGACTTTCAACCAGGAGACCAGTGTTCATGTCCCAAATTGTTCTTTTTTTTACGTGATGTTTGTGACGTGTTCTCTGTACTTATGTTACGTCACTTATTTTAATCCCAATGATGTTTTACTTTAACCTAACTAAGTAGGTTTGCTGCCTGAACATAACTGCGGCAGTTTCACGGTAACAACATGGTGTAAAAAGACAAAAATGCGTTATCATGACAAGCAGAATGTCCTTAAAATGTCTATTTATAGCCCTTCCTATGAGAGCAGGTTGGGTAATGATAAAACCTGAAACTCACAGGAAGTTGAAAGAGTCTTCAGAATAGTTGTTGAGGCATTGATGGTCAGCGGAAAAGTCTTCTTTGACTTTGAACCATGAAATATCTGAACCATTAAGTGTTGAGATATTTCACTGGACAGATGAAATGACCACGATGCATCCTCTGGAGGCTCATGGATGTCTGTAACAAATGTAATGGTAGTATCTCATTCTCCACACCGCTAGCATGGCTAACAGTAAACATACTGTAAACTCTCCACATGCACGCTACAAAATCAATGCTTGATTTTTGAGTCTGTTGTTAATGCACACTATTGTCCCACAATGCAATACACAGAGAAAAGCTAGGAGCTGCTCGCAGCTGACAATCAAAATAAATAGCATTCAAAATTAAAGTGCTTTGGAAAAAAAACATATAGTTTGACTTGCAACGGCTTTCTAAAGTTGCAGTTTCACACCATATTTATCATGGAATTGGAACACATTGTTGGTGTGTGCTGAGGTCTGCATCGACTTCATTGAGGTCTCACGGGGATTAAACACACACACACACACACACACGAAACCACATACACACGTGTTTTTGTCACTTAGGACAAGGGACGTAACTAACTTCAACCACAAAAATAAACTTACCTTGTGGGGACCACAATGAGCGTGTCCCCAAATGTGACGGTGTGAACAGATGTCCTTACAACGTCATAAATACAATCACACACACACACACACACACACACAAACACACGCACACACACACACATACACAAACTAACAACAGACAGTAAACGAAGACAAACATCACTCAGCAGCAGCAGCAGCTTCCTAATTTCATGCATGTATTCTTAACAGCAGTTGAAATTAACACAATTACAAGCGAGAGATGGAGTGAGATCCGACAAATCTGTCTTTAATTTATCTAAACCTCATCAAACGAGCCCGTCGCACGACTGCAGATTGTTGACGATAGCAAAGCTCCAAAGCAAACAGCGCATCATAGGGAGCAGATTTGAAGAACTAATTCATCCATCAGTTCAGTTCTGCTGAGAAAACCACTCACTTCCTGCAGCTGCATATCACTCCATGTGTTTATTAGACGTACGGGGTCACACCTCTGACCCCTGCAGGGGTACAGTCGGGCAAATAACGAACCCCGGCAGCCAGCGATCATGCAAAGACGTGACTCGCTATCGACCGGACCTGTTAGATTAGATGACGATGACGCAGAGGGAGTAAACAAGCATCAGGCTTCATCAGTTCAGCATCAGGGTTCTGATGCAGCGGTTAATATTCATCACCACGGTCAACAGAAATCAAATTTTCCTTTTATGGACGGGAGACATCTTCGAAAAACTGTGTCACTGAGTCCAATAAAGATAATAATAATATATAGTACCTTAACATCAGCTGCATTCTTTAAAGAGTCACTGCACACTTAAACCTGTTTGTAAGAGCCAATTATTCACATGTTTATTTATTATTTAAGTTCGTATCTTGCTTCGTTTTCGTATGAATATATGTAAATATTGTTGTTTGCCATTTTCTTGCCATAAAGGGCTCAACATTTTGTGATTTACGACAGGAAAAAGAAGTCCGCTTAGGTTCGGATCGTGTTTATCGTGTTTTGATAATCAACGTTTGTGTTGGAACGTCAGGTCGGTAGTGGAGCAGCAGGATGTAACCTGCTGTCACGTTGTAATGGATCTCTCATAAACCATCGTTCTCTGGAGTTATGCGTGGACTTGGGGTTGAAGTTACACTTTAAAATACTGATGCCCTTTATTTTGAAAGGGTCTAAGACGATGTCTCTCAACCTGCAGAGGAGCAGGTTGAGAGACATCGTCTTAAACTCGTGTTCCTGAGAAACGTTTTGAAAGTCGCCCAAAAATGGAAATGATCTGATTAAACCTGAACTATTTACTGTACTTCAGTACATGTTAGTTGCTTCCCACCTCTGATTACATATTCAGGATTTACACTAAGAGGTCGAATATATAACGACCTGCATGCATAACTCACAGAGCCAATTTCACGCCTTCAGAGTCGATGGGTTTACTCTGATTTATAGTCCGTACGTTCAGCTCGTCCTTCACTAACAACTGCCACTGAGAAACATCTTCCTGTGCATCTGGAGGAAGCAGAAACAGAAAAGAGAAAGAGGAAGAGTTAATGGAGCCGCTGCAGTGAGATAAACTGATGCAGCTCTCCAAACTGTCCCTCTGGGCAGCTGTGAAGCAATGAGACTCTGAGCAGCTCTCCAGACCAACACCTTCACTTTATCTCCAGTCCAGACAAACACGCATCAGGACCTCGTGCTCCGTCTGCGGAGGGCTGAAAAATATTCATTTTTGATTCATGGATTTTGTTCGTCAGTGTGACTGTAAATACACGTATTTATATTTTTATCGTAGGTTTACTTGTATTTTCTGTATTCTTTAGCCAGAGTTCAAACTGTTTCTAATGCATGTGACAATATACTTTAAATAGAACGCAGATTGGTTGCAACCAGGTGCAAACCTTTGGTTCTGATAAGGGAAGCCGATGCAGAAGTATCTTTAACCTGCATTCTCTCTAGTGTCCACCAGGGGGCGACTCCTCT